AGAGCTGGACACAGCACTCCAGGGGTGGCCTCACCAGTGCTGAGTGCAGGGCAAGAATCCCTTCCCTGCTCCTGCTGCCACACCATTCCTGAGCCAGGCCAGGATCCATCGGCCCTTTTGGCCCCCTGGGCACACTCTGGCTCATGTTCAGCCTCCTGTCGATCAGCACCCCCAGGTCCCTTTCTGCCTGGCTGCTCTCCAGCCACTCTGTGCCCAGCCTGTAGCGCTGCAGGGGGTTGTTGTGGCCAAAGGGCAGGACCCGGCACTTGGCCTTGTTGAACTTCATCCCATTGGAGTCAGCCCAATTCTCCAGTCTGTCCAGGTCCCTCTGCAATGGGAGTCCCTCCCATTCCCAGAATATTCTGCTACCCCATATCTTCAAGCCCATTCTTCTTCACAAAGAGCTGCCATTGAGTACTCCAATTCACACCCTTGCACCAAAGGAGGATCCCTTCTTTCATCAAACCCCTGGTGGACTGGGAATGGCTCTTCTATGGCAATTTTTCCCCTGTGAATCTGATGCTACTGCTCTTGCCTCCCTCTTTGCCCAGGTTACCCTCAAATTTTTTCTCAGGTCTGAAAGTTTAATTGAATCTGTCACTTCCAAGCTCCTCTCAGGCCAGCTACCCTTCATTTAGTGCCAAGAGAAATCATAAACCACAGGTGTGTGCTCCTCCTGCTCCTTGGGGGCTGCACCTGAGGCAAGTTAGGGTTTGCAGCCTGTGCTATATAGCCAGCCCCATGGCACTTGCTGGCTGCTTTGTTGGAGGCTGAGATGAACTCAGAACCTAGGAAGAAGCGTGGTCATGTTTCCACCTCTGGGGACAAAATATTTAAAAAGACACCAAAGAGAAAGGAAACCTTTTCAGTCTATATTTACAAAGTACTGAAGCAGGTGAGTAAATGTTTCTTTTCTGCTAGAAACTGCTTAATCCATAAAGTTACTTCTACCATTGTGTGTTAACACCATAAAGGGGAAGGAAGGAAGGAAGGAAGGAAATCTGCTGTTTAGTGAGATGGAAAAAAAAAAAAAGGTGGGTATAGGAGAGCCCCAGTTGAGGCTCAGAATCTGGGGGCAGTGGGGGAGAGGAAACAGGTTCTTGGGGATGGATCTAGAGCAGAAAGGGTTTCCTAGAGAGAGCAAGCTCTGCTGTATGGTTCTGCTTGAAGAAGCAATTGAATAGAAGTAAAGAGGGTGGGAACAGCTCCTGCTGGGCTTGTAAGTGTTAAAATCTCTGGTGAAATGAGAAAAAGAATTTTTGGAAGTGGCCATGGGGTGTCTAGGCCACAGTCATCAGCATGAGCCTGTAGGCAGGTTCTGGAAACTGGTTTTCATCCCTCAGAGTCTTGTTTTCCACAGGGATTGTGTAGGGGCTCCCATCGGTGCAGTCCCAAAGCTGCTGTGGCATTATGAGAGCCTCTCTTCAGTCTAATGCAAGTGGCGCATGACTTGAAACCCTCAGGGTGGCAAATGTGGGTCCCTTTTGGGGTTAGAGTGCCCTGTCTGGGAGGGGGAGTTGGGTCCTGCTTCTCTGGGGTGGCTGGGTCCTGTCTCCCTCCAGGGTGATGGATGTGTGAGACAGTGTTCGGTTACCACCCGGCAGGTGCACCCAGACCTCACCATCTCCTCCAAGGCTATGAGCATCATGAACTCCTTTATCAACGACATGTTCGAGCGCTTGGCCTCGGAGGCCTCGCGCCTGGCCCAGTACAGCCACCGCTCCACCATCACCAGCCGCGAGGTGCAGACGGCCGCCCGGCTCCTGCTGCCCGGCGAGCTGGCCAAGCATGCCGTCTCCGAGGGCACCAAGGCCGTCACCAAATACACCAGCAGCAAGTGACCACCGGGCCCTGCTTCCTGGGGAGTCTTGCAGGAGCTGCTATTCAGTCTTACTCAACCGAGAAAGCAAAGCCTCCTGTTGGCTGCCTGCAAATAAATAAAGCATAGAAACACCTTGTGTCTGTAATTTTGGTGTTGCAAAGTGTGAGGCAGTTTGAACTGTGATGGGGGGGGTTGTTTGGAAGGGCTGGAAGAACAGCTGCTGTTTGAAAACAACCACACACAAGTAGGAGCAGGGACCACAGGGCATGCCTGAGGAGAGCTAGGGTTGTTCTGGGAAGCAGAGTGAACTCTCCACAGTTCTCCAAACTCTTTATCCTGGTTTCCTGACTGCTAAAAGTTTCTATTGTCTTTGACCTTCCTGTGGTTCTTCAAGTGCTTCCTTACTTGGTGGGTCTCTTTGCCCAGGTTGCCAGTTTGTACTGGTCAGAGCAGAGGCTGAATCCCTCTGGGTAAGTGGAATGTAGTTAGCAGTGGTAAGGGTAAGCATGTTAATAAACTGTTTTCAAAGGTAATGTTTTGGGGTTTTTTTCTGGTGGTTTTTTCCTTGGGTTTTTGGGTTTTGTTTGTTGTTGTTTGGTTTTCTGTTTTTTGGGTTTTTTCCTCCTGGTGAAGGCTTCCTCCCTTTTGGGTAGGGGAGACAAACAAAGCCAAATGAGCTGGACTGACAGAAGAAACAAACAGTATTTCCTTTCCAGGACTTGTGGCCATTGCCTCCAGTTGCTTTGAAGAGAACTTTGTCTTGCAGGGCTCTAAACTGGGCTAGGGCTGAATGTCCTGTGTTCTGCCTTGGATCATCATATTAATGACTGGCCCTGGCTGCCTTTTCTCCTTTTCCCAAGTGCTTCTTATGGGAAGGGTCCAGGGCCTTGCAGGCAGCACTAGCAGGTTCTCTGTCCACGTGGAGCTCAGGAAGCCCTCAGGGTGAAGTGTTGTGTCCAGAGTGATGGTGCAGGCCATGACCTCCAGAGCTGTGGTGGGGCATGAGCACAGCACCTTCTTGGGGTGTGCAGGGCTGTCCTGGATTGCTGCACAGAGGTGCTGCCTCAGTGTCTGTAGCGGAAAGGAAAGGTGAGGGGCAAACTCTGGGTGGAGTTGTGGTGGAGATCATAGAGTGGTTTGGGTTGGAAGAGACCCTCAAGTTCATCTGGTTCCACCTTCCCCATGCCTTAGACAGGGTCACCTTCCATTATGCCTATCCAACCTGGTCTTGAACACTTGGGGTATCTGTAACTTCTTTGTGCAGCCTGTTCCAGTGCCTTTTCCCAGTTTCACATTGGGACTGGATGCCTGGCTCTAACATCTTCCATTCAGAGCCAACAACAGGGTAGGAGGAACCAGAGCTGTGTTTAGTCCAAGGTGACAGTATGTGGGGCAATCCTGGATTTCACAAACTTGTGAGATGATGCTGAGTCTCATGAGCTACGGAGCTGTGACAGGTACTGATGGGCCTGGCTTGGCAGTCTGGGCCAGACAAGATGTCCATGATGTTCCTCAGCAGAGTGCAGGAGGCAGCAGGGCTGGGGCTGAGCATCTCCCTGTCAGACCTAGCCCTGCTGCTGTGGAGTGTGGTTGGCTAGGGCAGGGAGGGAAGGGGGCTGCGTTGAAGAGTGCTTCACCCTGCCACGCCTGTAAGCTGGACCTGAGCACAGGGTGGAGCAGCACTTTGCCCAGCGAGGCTGCACTTCTTTTCCTTCCTGTGACCCTTGTGGCGGCTGGTGCTGGTGGAGGAGCTGCTGTGTTGGGGCTGCCCCTGGGCCGGGTTTGTGGGGTTGCTCAGCCAGATGCAGGGATTGGAGACAGGTCTGGCAGAGCTCAGCCTGAGAGTGGGACGCTGAGCAAGCTCCACTTGCACCAAACAGGTGAGCAGCCCATCTCCTTGCCTGGCCTACTGTATTGCTCCCTAGGCCGTGTATCTGCGCTTGCTCTCCCGTTTCCCCAGCAGTGGGATGTGCAGCTGTGCTCACTGTGGATGAGGAATGCTGAGGGTCAGCCTTGAGCTGCAGTTCTGCTCCTGACCTGGAGATGGGTCTGTCTGACTACCTGATCTCATATCCATTCCTGCAGCATAGGAAGGATCCCCGTGCTGCTCTGCTTGGAGCAGGCTGCCTGTGGACTGCGCAGCTTCCCTCCCTGGTACCCTGGCTCTCTTGACAGATACCCGCACAACCAGCCAGGTAAGGGGCCGATTCATGGCGAGAGGAGCAGCTGTTTCCTGGAGGTGTCTGGTGGAGCACTGGCACTGAGTGAGACCCAGAGGAGTAAAGCTCTAATGGTGCAAGTGCTTGCTTCTCCAATACTCCGGTTTGTGCATCCTGCTTCATGTCATACCTGCCCTCTATGCCCTCACTGAAGGCTTGAAGAATGGAGTTGGTGAATGGCCTCACATTCCTCTTACTAGATCCCTGCATTTCCTTGCAGATGTGGACAGGTGGTGGAGATGAACTGAGACTGAGAGGCAGAAGGAGGAGGTTGCTCTTGGAATGGGTGAGTTCTGCACTGAACCTGCCTAGATTGTCCCTTTTACATTTTCCATATGGAGGTGGGTTCATCTCTAGGTATGCAGGGATCCTGCTGCTTGTTTCCCCACAGTGTATTCCCATGGAGTTGCTTTGGGATACCCGCACAGGATGTCATACATGGTCATCCTGAGGGATCACTCTGTGCTGGCATAGATTAGCTTTGGTGAGAACTGCTCCTCAGCTCAGCTGTTTCCAGACTGGAGTTGTGGCTCTGTGCCCTTGTCCTAGTGGACCCAGTGAGATTTGGATGAAGTTGTTATGGGAGGAAGGGGTAGACTCTGCCACCCAGCAGGGATCTGCAGGACACTGCTTGCTGTGAGAATGACCCAGAAGCACTCAAGTTGCAATAAAAGCAAAGCTTAACTTGGAGCCTGTGCAGGCTTTTCCAAAGTCTCCTGTGGCTGCCTTATTCCGTGTGAGTCTCTGTCCAGATCTGCCTGGGTCCTCACAAGTCTCCCAGGGAGGCTTTTTTAGTGCTGTAACACTGCAGTGCTGTCATGTTTCATGTCCCTGGCCCCCTGTCTCTGTTTTTAATGAGCTATGCATGTCTATGGGTTAGAAAAAGCCTTTTTCTTTTTTTTTTTTTTTTTCCCTTGGTCCACTCTTCAGCCTCTCAAAAAGAGTACTAGAGTGTGACAAACTGAATGACTGTTCATAAAAATACCATCAATGCCTACATTCTGTTTTCTTTTCTGTATGAGAGCAATGTCTTAAGAACACGTGCTCTTCCTCTCGTGTGGTGGAGGACCATGAAGCAGAGCATCCCTCTGGTCTGTTATGAGCGGAGCAGGTTTGAGGGGAGGGAGCTTCTTGGGCAGTGGAGGATGGCAGCGGCGTGCAGACCTGCGTGTATTCCTCTCCCCATGTTGTGTCCCTTGGCAGCCATACTGCCAGGTGGCTGCTCCAGTGCATCATTAGACACTGTTCCAAATAGCAGAGGCCAGAACGGTTCAGCACTGAGAGGAAAATGAGCCGGTGATGGATAGCTCTAGTGATGCCAAAGCTGTTAAAATATGAACCTCTGATGTACAGCCCCATCCAGTTCCAGCAAGGGACTCTCATTCTCTCTGTGCTCAGCTGCTGGTGTGTGGGGACAGTGCTGGTCTGTGGCCCTTCCCTTCTCTGTGTGGTAGGTAGGGTGTTGTCCCTGACTAATGGTAGCTCGTGGTGGCCTGGGATTGTGCCTGGAGGAAGGGAGATGAGTGATGATCAAAGGTCAGGCAGGCACTCCCCTGTGAGTACACACACTGCTGCCTGAGGCTGCTGTCCCTGATGCTGCCTGTGCTGTAACGGGATTGAGGGTCCGTGGCATCCTTGGAGTTGTGTGCCCATCTATGTTCTGCCCAGCAAGGATTGCTGCAAATAGTTTGTTTCTTTGTTTTTTCTCTCTTTGTGCTCTGTTTGCTCTGGAGTCTAGGATGCAGCCAACGATAATGCTGCTTCCTTCATCTCCCCTGCTTGGGAATGTGCTGGGGATGAGGGAGGTATTCAGAAGTTAATTGAGAAAGTAAATCTTATGTTATAACTGTGGTTTCCAGGACCATATAACTTGGGTCAGGATGCATCCCTATTCTCATGGCCACTCTGTGCAGCCCTGTATTACCTGCTGCTGAACTGGGAGGAAGCTGAAGGGCCTACAGTGGGGTGAGGTGCTCCCTGATGTGGAGCTGCAGCCAGGAGAGCCCCGGGGGCCGACTTGAGGTGCCCCTTGGGACAGGCTGAGTGCTCCTCTGGGGTCAAAGACAGTGGGACGGGGTCAGAGGGTGCGTTCTCACGTAAGCAATATGTGTTGAGCTGGGCCCGTGATTGGTACCAGTGGTGTGCTGTTTGGCCTCCAACAAGGAGAATACTTCCCTTTGGGGCCCCATGTGGGCTGTGGGGCTGGAGAAGAGGGTGACATGGGCAGAGTGGCCCCGTGAGGAATGGCTGGTGCAGGCCACACGCCGTTTTCCCATTAGTGAGTGTTTAGTTCAGCGTTTTAAATAATTGTGTCCTCGGAATGATATTTAAAATCCATTTGGGAGGCAATGAGGCGGGAAAGTGCCTGTGCCATTGTGATGACGCTGCGCGGGCCGCGCCACACATGCATATTACAAACTCGTTACAGGCTCGTTTACACTCATGCTGCTCCCTCCCCACACCACCGAGGCTCCGAGTGCTTCTCCCCCACCATGACTGCTGGGCTTGGCTCTGTGGAGACATTTGTTTGGCAAGGTAGACCCGGTGTCCTCTGCAGCAGGAGGAGGAGTGCAGCTGAGGTGCAGCAGTTGGGTGCTGCCTTTTGGGACAGGGATGTCCCAAAAGGGCACACCTGGTGATGGGACTGTCACTCAGGTGTCCTGTCCTTCACCTGTGCTCTGTGCAGAACTGTATCACTTTCTGATGAGCCCTCAGACTTGTCACTGCAGACTGCAGCCCCAAGGCTGTCAGCTGCTGTGCTCTGGGTACCACTGAAGAGCTGCAGGACTTGTCCCAGGCTGACTCTGAGGCTGAGGACCAGCCTGGGCTCTTGAATGTCTATGGAAGCCGCATGAGGGACTAGGTGTGAGGGAGAAGCAGCTTCAGCAATGGCCACATGAGTGCTGGTTTGTGGCTGGATGGGAGAGAGTGGCCCCTCTGCCTCCATTCCTCTCTTGCCACTGTGTGGGCACCCTCTGCTGTCGTCCCAAGCCATGCAAAATAGAAATCCTATGTGGCAGGACAAGGCCCCTGGTGCTGCTTTATCCTTGTTCTGTTGGCCTCGGTGGCATGAGCAGTATTCAGTCTTCTCCATCCTGATCATGTTCAGCTGCTTCTAGCCGGGGTCCCAGCTGTGGTTTTTCTTGGTACTACCTTGTGGCCAAGCACTAGTAGGGTGAGGATCAAGCCCCCATGTACTTAAGGACATGCTGTGGTCTGACACCTATTCCCCTTGCACAGTGACCTGGCTGGCTGCTTTCTGGGTAGGCAATGGAAGGCTCTGGCATCCTTGTCTCTGCCTGAGGGCTGTGGGCCATCAGTGTCCTCATTGTCCCTGTGGACTTTCCTACTTGGCAGCTGTGTGGGTGTTTGGCTTGGAGATGCTGAAGGGGAATAGGAAGGCTTTAGTCATTTCCAGGATTTGAGGGCAGAGCTGCTCATTGATGTTTCTTCCTGGATAAAGCTCAACTTACCACTGCTCTCAGTGCAGCTTGTGTCCCTGTGCAGGTGGGAGTTAGGTTGGGAGTGGCTGACAGGTACAGTGCTCCTGGCTGGAGCCGAAGAACAGGGGAGTGTGAGAGGTGAGCCAGGAGCTTGCTATGCTGAAGTCACCTTTTCTCTGGTTGATGGTAAGCTGCTGAGAGAGGAGCCACAGATACTCAGTGTGGCAATGGAAGATAAGAAGCCACACAAGGAAGGTCAGGAAAAGAGCCCAGCGTTTCAGGTGCCACAGGTGGGAACGTTAGGCTTGGGAAACAGTAACTGAGAAAGGCTGTGGGTAGAGTTGGGTCTGGCTCACCTGGAACTCACTGTTTGGGAAAGCCTCTGCTGGTGCTCCCCATTCAGGCCCGTGTACTCTGGCTGCCTCTGACACTGCAGCTAGCAAAGTTGCTGCAGTAATCTGTGTTGGGAAGGGAGAAAGTTAATTTTGTAAGAATGTGGGAAGGAGGTGAGAGAGAGGTGGACTTGTCAGTTTCTGATAATGCAATTCACAATCCCTGACATGTGCTGTCCTGGCCAGGGCCCCTTCCAGGAGCTGCTGCCTTGCTCGAGTCAGAAGTGAATGAGCCTGGAAAGCTCTTCAGAAGGGCTTCTTTTGTCACAGCAACTTGCTCCTGAGCAGCAGAGAGGATGTAACTGAGGGTGGCTGCCACTCCAAACTGCAAGAGCACACCTGAGAAATGTTTGAAGACCTTTCCCTACCCACAAGAGGGTCTCCAGCCTGTGTCATCAGGACCTTCTAAAGGTGGCAGCATTTAGTACATCATGTTAGTGTATATGACCAGCCAGTATCTGCATAAAATCATGGTTCCCTGGATAGTCTCTGATCTGCCAGGGCCATGTGTTACATCTTTAGGCTTGTAGCTTACACAGGGGACTTTACCAGTAACCAGATACTCTCCCTAAATCTGTCCTCTGTGGGCAGACGTGCTTTGTCCTGCCTCTCAGTGTGTGTAAATGGACACTCCTGTATGGGGGAAGCATGACAGCTTTATTCCAGTGGTGGTAGCAGCAGGAGGTGGAAAGGTAATTTGGAGAGGAACTAAGAGTTCTCCTTAGTTTCTCCTTTTCCCCATCTCTAAGAGAATCCAGGCTTCCTGTACTCCAGGTTCCCCAAGTCAGGGCAGTTGCACTGAGCCCCTCACCTGGTTGGAGGAGACTGGCTATTTGTTATGCTCTCTTTTCCCTTTCTGCCACGGTGTTCTCTCCCAGGTTCTCTGCTTTGTTCGAGACCTGGCAGTCTTTGAACAGGCAGGTCTAGAGACTTGCTTCTGTCTTCTGTGCTGTGACCCTCCTTTGCAGCCTGCTTTATCCCCTGCACGTTTGCTTTCTCTGCAGGACTGGTAACTGAAGACAGCCCTGGATAAAGAGCAGCTCCAGGCAGTGCAAGAGACAGCAGAAGTGAAGCAGACACAAGACAAACACAAGAAAGGGGAAAAAAAAATCAAGGTAATAAATAGCTCTTAGCTTTGTACTTGCTGTCTTGGGACAGGACAGCTGTTTCTGCTTTTGGCATTGTGTGTGCAGAGGGGGACCAGACCACTGTGTGGGGAGAGGGTTTAGGATGGGTGTGTAGACAGAAGAAAAAAGGGCCCTGGACATGTGTGTGCAAATATACTTGTCATGGGTTCTGTGAGGTGCTGAGCAAGCTGAAGTGAGTGTGACTGAGGCTGGGGAGGTCTCTCTAGCTGTGTCTGGGCTGTGGTTGTGTCTGGAGGGAGAGACAAAACTTGTGTGAAAATCTTTATAGTGGCATCTACTGCCATTCCTAGTGCCTACATTGGTCTGGGAGCTCTTGGACCTGTTGACTTCTTGGTTTTGCTCTAGAAACGGGACAGGAAGGATCCGCTGAGGGACTCTGCCTGACTCGTGGGCAGGTCCTGCAGCAAAGGAGGGAGTGAGGCAGTGCCTCACTGCCCTGGGGAAGAGGCTGGTGTTCAAAGCAGTCTGTGGGACTTGTGAGGGCCTTTTTGTCCCTTTGGAGTTGTGTCAGGGAAGGACTCTGTCCTCAGTCCCTTATGGCTTCCGACAGTGTGTCTGCTCCAGATCTTTTCCATGCTCGCTCTCTGTGGCTGCCCCCCCTCATCTGTTCCTTTCTTGGGGTAGCACAGAGCGGAGCAGGGACTTTGCAGAGCAAACGAGCACGTAGGCAGTGATTCCAGGCTGCCTGCTACCTAATCTGTGCCTACTCTGTGCTGGTAATTGCACCCAGCAGCTGAAAATAAGCTTTTGGAAGAAGGGGAGGTGGTGATGAGGAGCTGCCAAGCTGGACTATTTATACTGGGTGAGTCAGGCCTGTGCCTGAGTCCAGCCAGATGCCGGAGAGCTGGAACCCAGGAACAACCTGCAAAGGTCAAACCCTTTGACAAAGGCTCTTTGCTGCAGCAGCTTGTTTACTGTGCGGCTCAGACTCGTCCAGTTTGTCCCCCATGACGGACTGCACCTTCCCCCTCAGCTCTGCCACACAACACTTGCTGCAGCCAGATCACTGGAAGCTTCCTCCCCATGTAAGGTCCCAGTGCCACCGCAGTGAGCACAGCCTGAGCCTGGATGGCCAGGGCTGCCAGTACAGCCGCCTGGAGCCACTGGAGTGCCGGGATCTGCTGGTCCAGAACGCGCTCTTCACTGGAGACCTGGACATGGTGCAGAAGTTCTTCACCAAGAGCGCAGCCATCAACCTCATCATTGAGACCAGGGGTGATGTGCTGCGCTGGACTAGCAGGAAACGTGGTGGGTGTGTGGGGCTGGGACATGGGGAACAGAAAGTGCCGGGGATGGGGCCCAGAGAAAGGGCATGTGGAAGAGGTATTTGGGAAGAATGGCTTTTGGATGAGGAAGGAGGATTCCAAGACTATAGAACAAATGGTAGCAGGTTTGTTGAAGGTGACCAATGGCAGACTTACAAGGAAATGGTGAGAACAGGGCCCTTGGAAGGGCTTCTGGAGGAGCACATCATCAGGATTGTCTGGTTAGAGACTGCTGGGATAGATGGGAAATGTGTGAGGTGGAGAGAGTGCATGTGTGAGAAGGGATCACAGAGCTATTCTGTTCCGTGAGATGGATTTCACAAGGGGAGCAGAAATCCAGTCTGGCAGAAAGATGGTGGAAGCAAGCTTGTCTTGAGGGACAGAAGGTAGGACCTGATCGTGCTTGGTGTTTTGTCCCATCTATACACCTCACTGAACCTTGCCCAGGCACATCTTGTGGCTACCACACAGGCTTCCACGTTCTCTGGTCCCTTTTGCTTCCATCCTCACTGATTTCATCTGTTAGTTAGAGAAGGTGAAGTCTGCAGAGACAGAATGAGCTGGAGACTGTCAGTATACAACTCTCTCATTTATTTTCATTACTGAGAAGGGTAAAGTTCCCTGTCTTACACTCTGCTCTGGTCCCCTGGTAACTTTTGCTTGGTAGCCTATTGGGGTCACTTAACTTGTGTTTAGCTGCATGATCTTAGTTCCATAACACAAAATTAAACTGAACACTTAGTAGCCTTCCATGCAGTTTGATGTGTTCTCTAGAACACACATTGTGAACAAAACACGCAATAAGTTAGCAATGCACGCTGTTCAGTGGGCAGGGTGGATGTGTGCAGCCAAGTGGGGCCAGAGGAAAACTCCATCTCAGGTGGCATGCCAGCAGTGAGCAACCCCGAGTGGGGGGAGTGTCTGAGGATGGAAAGGGAACACTGAAGTCATGCAGGGGCTCTCTGCAAGGCTGGATATCAAGAAAAAAAAGGAAATTACCTTCAATATTTCTAATCCTTGTGACTATTTCTACCTCTCCTTTGGCTTTGATTATAAAGAGCTGTCCCTGTGGCTTGTTTAAAAACCTGACTAGTGCCAAGAGCTCAGGTGGAACTGGCAGATGGGTGTGCAGCGCTGGAGATGGGCATGGAGCAGAGGGGTGGGCGAAGGCAAGGAGTCATGTGTGGAACAGAAGGGTGGGGGAAGGCATGGAGATGTGCACAGAGCAGAGGACTGATGGGGTCGTGCTGTTGTGATCTGGGCAGCACTGGATGACAATAGGCTGGTTGAGTATGAGACAACTTCCCTCTCTGCTGTCCCCATTTCCACCCTTCAGGTCCCCCTGCCCTGCCTGGGGGCTTTCCCTTCACAGTGGGGCACTGCAGAGGTACTGCAGTGTGAATGGAAAGCCTTTATCAGCCTCTTGGCCTGTGTTTGGTCACAAGGTTTCCCAGAATAGAGCAGCTGACACCTGAGCTGTGCCCAACCTGTGCCAAAGAGGCGTGTGACATGTGCCCCCTCCCTGTGGAGCACCCTGGGCAGGCAGGCAGCCCCTCGGCCGGAGCACAGGGTACTGGTGGGGCTGTGCCCATAGGCTCAGAGTGTGGCTGGGGTGCACCAGCAGGTCCTGCCCTGGTCTCTAAGAAGGGTTGGGGTGCCTGTCATGGGCAGCATCACAGGCAGAGGAGATGAGAGCTGGGAGCCCATCCGCACGCGGCAGGTGGCTGGCCCTGCCCAGCTGTACTGGGAGGCCCTGTTGACTGGGGATCGGGAGATTGTGGCCGAGATCCTCAGCAACCCTCAGAACAACCTGAGCCCCAGTGCCGTGTTTGACACCAGTGACATGGAAGAGTGGAAGAACTACCGGTTCAACCCCCGTGGGCTGAGTATGTGGGGGCAGTGGGGCACAGCCTGTGGCGTGAGCTGTGGGACGTTGCTGTTGCTGGAGCTGTTGTGTTACAGGAGCCGCTTGGGTTACGGAGGAGTGCAAAGGGAAGTGAGAGCACGGGGATGTGGTCAGGTTCTCCTGTGCATCTTGTGAGAGAGTGCGTGTGCGTCTGGAAGGATGAGGTGCATCCAGGAAACCTGGCCCCTCTCACAGAAGTTGTGCAAGGGCTTGGGAACTGCTCGGGTTCCCCACGGGGCTATGGGGAGTCAATCTCTGTGACCAGTCCTGCAGCCAAGCTCTGTGTGCCTGTGCTCTGTGTGTGCACTGGGCTGCTGGGTCCTGTTGTTGTGCCGGACAAGGGATGGTCACAGCCCTGTGTTGGGTCCTCCAGATGGTTCAGCTTAAACCTGGACCTGGGAAACACAGTTGACCACATGCTGATTCTGTAAGAAGGAGCTGAGAGGATGTAGTGTTGAACATGCTGTGCGGTCTGGGCAGTGTCCTCCAGCCCAGCCTGGGTGGGCAGCCAGAAGTCTGAGTTAAGGAGCCCTCATCTGCTGGCTGTTTTCCATTTCAGTGATGGTTCCAGCTGGGTCAGCATCTTTGAGAGCTGATGCATTTCAGCCCCTTGCTCTCCTGGGCCCCAGATGTCCATCTCTGCTGGATCTTACTGTTTGCACGCTGATCAGGGCTCAGCTGAATCTTGTGTGCACGGCAGCTGGCTCTTTTACTGCCTGGTTCCTTGTGCTTGTGGTACTTCATGCACGGTGTTCATCCCAGCCACCTCACTGCCTTCAGCCCCAACGGTGCCCTAGGCCCTTCTTCCACTGTGCTTTTGACAACAGAAACCCCACGTGCCCACCTGGGCAGCAGGTGAGGAGCACACTGCCTGGTCTCTGGCTGGCCACTCCAACTACAGGGGCCTCGCAGGGAATGGACTTGCAGTCCCTTGAGGAGAAACCCAAGTCTCTCAGAGGGGACATACATCAGGTACCTTGTGGGAAAGGGCAGGTCTTTGTGCACTGTGGCTGGATGTGGCTCCCTGACCTCTCTTTCCTTGCAGGACTGTGGTCTCTGACCTACGAGCAGGAGCTCACCACACCCCTGCACATCACAGCCAGCCGGGGCTACACCGACTGCCTGCGGCTCCTGCTGCTCCGGGGCGCTGCCGTCGACTTTGCCCCGGGGGGCAAGACTGCCCTGCACGAGGCTTGTGCAGCTGCCAGCACCGACTGCGTGCGCCTGCTGCTCAGCTCCGGAGCTGACCCCGAGGCTGTCTCTGAGGATGGCTACAGACCCCTGCACCTCTGCAAGAGCCCAGACTCCATTGAGTGAGTTCTGCCCCGGGGGCACAGCTGGCCCCCCTCCCCATCGAGCCTCATCCCCTGTAGGAGGGGCCCCTCCTCGTCCCCGCTGGTGGGTGCAGCTGAAGGAGATGGCCTTGGTGCCTGTTCCTGAGCCACAATCACCTCTGAGGTCAAACAGGTGACTGCAAGCTCAAGTCCTCAGGTGACACAGCTGAGTCAGGTGCTGTTTCTCTGTCTGTCCACCAGCACTGCAGAGCCGACGGTCACACTGTGTCACTCAGGGCATTCCCACACAGATCCAGTGGGCAGATGAGCAGATGCCAGGTGGCACAACTCTTTGAGAGGTCTGTGCAGGAGTTAGCTTGGATTAGGCAACAGTATCTCTGCTCACCGGTCATCGTGGCTTAAAACTACTGCTCCAGGGCATGAGGAGCAGGGATTTTTCACTCTTGGGACAAGTGAAAGCTGTGGGATGGTACAGATGTGGGGGCTGGGAGGTAGGCTGGGAGATGGAGATAGGTAGGTCACCAGGTCACCTTGGCCCACACAGGTGTGTCCGGCAGCTGCTGCAGCATGGTGCCAGTGCCAACAGTCGGACGGAGGAGGAGAATGACACAGCCCTGCACGTGGCAGCACGGCATGGCCTGGCAGAGCACGTCCAGCTGCTTCTGTGCCACAAGGCAGAGCTGGAGGCAAAGAATGAGGAGGGACAAACACCACTGAACGCTGCCTGTGCTCAGCGCCATCAACCCCAGGACACGGACCGCTACTACCGGGTGTGCCAGCTACTGGTGGAGAGCGGTGCCAGCATCAACGCTGCCGATCGGGACAGGCAGCACCCGCTTCACCTGGCCTGCAAGAATGCCAACGCTCAAATTGCAGAGCTACTGCTGGCCCGGGGTGCAAATGTCAATGTCATGAACTACGGCGGCAACACAGCCCTGCACAATATCCTGCAAGTAGCTGCTTACAAACTGGAGCATCGCCCAGAGCTCGTGGTGCGAGCCCTGCTCAACCACGGAGCTGTCCGCATCTGGCCGGGCTCCCTCCTCAAGGTGCGGAGTGTGGTGGGAGGGGAAGGCTGTGAACAGCAGGGCCCCAGTGTGAGCAAGGGTCACAGCAGGGTTCATTCCGTGGCAGCCTCCTTGCTGTCTTGCTCACTCTGCCCAGAGACTGGGGAGAGAGAACTGGCATTTCTGGTATGGGAATCCCTGATGGGTTCTCTTGTAGGACTCTCCTGCTTCTGTCTGCTAAGCTGTGTGAAGAGTACTCACCCAGTTTTCATAATCACTTGCTCTGGAAAGTGTTGGTCTTCTTCCTTTGGAGGTGTCTCCTCTCAGGGGCACACCCTCCAGCTCCCGCTGTCTCTGCAAGACATCAGCAGACAAAGGGTTAATTTCCTGTCTTAATTCCTGAGCAGTGCAATAATTACCCAGCCCGGAGATCAGCAGATTGCTCTCCCCTTTGGGAAAATACAGGAAAATCAACAATTAACACTAATTAATCTCCTATTAACGCCAGATAATGAGGATCACTGGTACAGCCAGAATAGACTCTGACAGCTACTGCTGGCCAGGGCCATGGGGAGAGGGAGCCTGGAGCCAGGGGGATCTGCCTCTGTGCGACTGTGCCTGGGTGGGCTGTGCTCTGAAGGCTGCGCTGCTGTGAGATACACAGAATCAGTGTGTCACCTGTACCGACATGGGCCACACCAGAGACACATTGTACAAGCAAGTGTGATGTCTTCTGCGGCTCTGCACAGCCTCTGGCATGGGCACAACACTGCTTAGGACATGAGGACAGGATGTCTCTGCAGCACAGTGCCAGACAGGCACAATCCTGTATTCTTGAGACCCAAGTGCATTCCTCAACAGAGGCACACAGCACCATGGTCTGGCTGCTCGTAAAACCGGTGTCAGTTCCTGATCCAGAACGGCTCGTGCTTCAACTACCTAAACATGAGTAAAGAGCCTGGTGCACAGCAGAGCATTGGTGCTTATGAGCTAATTGCAGCAGCGAGGCCGATTGAGATCATCATCCCAGCCGCATGCGCTGGTCTCTGTGTCTGAGGAGAGGCAGTGGGGACCCAGTTGTGCTGAAGGCAGCTGTGCTGTGCATGTTGGGTGTTGGCTCAATCACCCTCTTCGCAGGAGGAACACTGGAGCTTCGCACCTGCTTTCCTCTCCTGGGTCAGCATGAGGACAGGACGTGAGTTCCCCAGATCTGCCCCATCTGGGTTTGAGCAGCATTCTAGGAGGTGACGGGGGGGCCTGCAGGACCTTGCCTGATGGTATTCACCTGCTCTCTCCCCGGCAGGTGCTGCGGTACTGCCACACCTGCCCACGCATCATCGAAGCCCTGGTGAACAGCTACACCCACGTGCGTGTCTCCGAGGACTGGGTGCAAGCAGTTCCAGAGGAGGTGGTACAGGTGAGGGAACAAAAGCCTACTGTTGGCTGGAGAACACATGTCCAGGCTCTGGAGGTGGGGGGGCAGGGTCAGCTGGGGCTGCTGCAGGTGGGCAAGGCTGAGGCTGGGCAGGAAACTGCAGGACACAGGGATGGCACTGTTGGGGACAGGGAGGATCCACAGTAGTGAGTAAGGCAAATGGGTGTCTGGTTCTACCCCTGCTACCAGGGTGATATCTTGAATTTTACCTGTGTTCCTCTCTTCTCTCTGTAGAAATACTCACGTTTCTACCAGTCTCTCTTCTCCCTGGAGCACAGACCTCGCTCCTTGCAGCACCTGGCTCGCTGCACCCTCAGGACCCTCCTGGAGGGCCGTCTGCTTCTGGTCCTTCCCCAGCTGCACCTGCCAAGTGCCCTGCACCAGTTCCTGCTGCTCGGCTTCGAGGATGTTCTCTATTAAGGGCTGTAGTTCCAGTCTTGCTGTGCTTTTCTGTGGAGATGTTCCATCCCCTCTGATGCAGTCAGTGCCTTCCCAGCTATCCCCTTCCCCTCACCCCCTCCTGCCAGGCCACATCAGCCATCTGTGCCAAGCCTGTCACTGTGTCCCCTTCAGTCTTGTGCTCTGCCTCATGCACCTGTTTTGGAGCATTCTGTTTGTCCATACTACTCAGGACAGGCTCCACAATAAGAAAAGGAAGATGTGGGGATTAGGGCATTTTGTGGGACAAGGAGCAAGTACTCTGCATGGATCACAGGCTTGGTTGTAGGATATCAGTCTCTCTGTCCTTCTCTCCAGCACTGTCCCTATGCCTGTAAGCAGTAAAGCATGCTCAGGCACTAAAATAATATCACCTGAAGGAGAGGGAAGGGTTGCATTCAATGGTTTGCTTTATTTTGCAGTTGTTAACTTACAGCTGTTAGGCTCACAGGCATTCCTTGGGTCTTGCTGGCTGCTTTTGCCAGTTCTGAGGATGCTCTGCACTGGGTGATGAGGACAGCTCCAGTGGGAAGAGGAGAACCCACAGGGTTTGGCTTCTGCAAACACAGGGGCACAGGGAGCCCCTGCACAAGAAGGCTGGTCAGCTTCTGGCACGTCCCAGTCCTCCTTGGATGAAGGTGTTAGGGCCCAGACGGGCACCTGCTGCAATGAAGGACCTGTGTGAAGCTGCAGGTGCATTTCCAGGGCTCTTCTCAGAGCCACCAGGTCTGCAGGTGGGGCACCCCAGTGTGCATGGGAGGGCTCAGGTCAGAGGGCTGAGAGAGGGACGGGCCACTCCTGGGCACAGATCTTCACAGACTGAATTTTGTCTGTGTTCTCACTAAAACTGAAAGGGCATGAGTTCATTGTGTGTAAAGGTACCACTGGATAACTTCAAGGAATGTGAGGGTGGTAGGAAAAGGGGAGAACCTTTTACAGAGGGACCAAGGCAACGGTGGGGGAAAAAAACCCAAACCAATTCCAACCAACCCACGAGAAAAGCTCTAGCACTTTTTCCAAGCTGAAACAAGCAGAAAGCTTCGAGCTAAGAACAAATGCTCTACGTTTAACTCAGTTACGCTAATTCATTAGCAATTGATTTTCAAACACATTTGCAAGAAGAGATTTAAAAATGTTCAGTGTTCCAGAGCACATTCTGGCAATTTAACAGGCTCTGCTATTTTCTCTGATGTGGGAATGGGAAATTCCTAGTGCAGCATCAGATGTACTTGCTTGGACAGTTTTGCCAGGGAAAAATGTAACCATCCTGAGTGGGAAGGCTGTGGCCCCCAGCGAGGACAGTGAGCGTGAGGCATTGTTAGCACAGGTGCATGTGGTTCTGATGTGTTTTTACCAGCTGCTACAGGCACAGGCAGCTGCTGGTTTTGCTGGGAATGTGTCTTAGGCAAAGGCTACTGCTCCTGCTTCAGCATCCAGCTGGGTTTGTCATGGCAAGAGGCACCCTTGAGACTGCTGGAGAGGTGCGTGTCCATCGCTGCATTCTCAGTGTAACCATCTGAGTGATGTGCTCCGGGGGAAAAGTCATCCCAGTTCTAGACAGAAGCTTCCATCCCAGCCCAGCTGCAGCACCTGGATCCTGCTCTGACCCTCCCTGTGAAGCCAAAGCACTGCCCATCCCTGGTACCCTCTTCTGGGAGATCAACAGCATCAGCACCTGTTTGACTCTTACTTGATCTTTCCTGTTCCTCGGGAAAGAGCGTGACAGGCCATAACAGGGAGCAGACTAGTAAATCACAATGGTACTTACAGAAGGACAACAGAGAAAGCAAGTAGAGAAAAGCTCTTCCCCAGCATGTCCATCCCCACCCTACACTTGTAATCTGCATTGTAGGTACTTTTGAGTCAAAAAGGCAGCTTTGTATTTATTGGTTGGGGAGAGATTTATTTTTTTTCTGCCATAAATGTCAACAGTCACTTTTTGGACCTGTGTACATTTGAGCATTCTGATGTCCTTGTGGGAAGGAGAGCAGAATAGCACAGTGTGTTGATCACCTCCTTTTATTTATCTTTCTACTGTTACCATTGTGTTTCATTTGACGCCCTTTAACTCTTGCTTTCTAAGAATATATGGGCAGCTATTGTCTGTTCCTCTTCATCATATTATTCAGAACTATAGAGATGCCTGCTCTTTCTCTCCTTACTTAGGCTGGAATTCCATTCAGCTGTGCTGTTGCTGTGTGGAAGCTGTCACCCAGCCCTTACTATGCACACAGGCTCTCCCTGGGCCCTTACTGGTCCCAGTGCATCCTTTGGAGATGAAGGGAGGACAGCTGTGCACAGCACTCAAAAGGGGGTTGTGCTGATTGTCTAAGGGTTCTGTTGTGGATGTGAGATCCACACAAATGCTCAGGAACCTTGGATTCGTATTTGACATCACTGGACCATTTGCACAGCCCTGGAGGGAGACCTGGGCAGAAATGCCCTGAATTCAGTGTTTTCTGTGCTCAGGTGGCACATGTCACAACCTCTAATGTTTTTCAGACTCATTACTATCCAGGATGCTGTCCTTGATTTAAAGTGAAGCCCCATTCTTCTTTCCTGTATGTTGCACCTTATACTTGGAGGCACAAATCAGCCAGTTCATGTACCTGGTGTTTCCAGCAACCAAGATCAGATTGTCTTGAGCAAGTGCCACCTATGACTTTTACTATCCCAACAATTCATTTTCATCCACTCCTGTAATTTTGTCAGCAACTGTTCTTTATTTCTCACTGATTGCTAACAACATATAACACTGATTTGTGAAGACAATAGAGCTAGAAATACACCTTTCAAATGGCTGTGTAGGATAAGTCTTCTCAGTCACCCAGTTCTTTTGGATCTCTTAATGCTGAGCCCACTGACTGCAGCATACAGCTAATTTTTCATAGTAGAATGTTCTGCAGAACTGACTTACAGGAATCTAAGCATACCCCATCTCTCATTAGCTGTATCAAACTTGGAAGCTTACAAAAAAGTTACATAAAATCATTTGAAAATATCCTTTTTGAGTTAGATTAAATTGGGTTCTAGTTTTGTCTAATTTACCCAGGATGTCCTTTGGTTGCTTGTCTGTGATTGGCTAGAGATATATGTTGAACTAACTGCTCTGTAGTTTCCTGGATATCCATATGAACACATTTAAATACTGACAAGACATTGGATTTTTTCCCCCTAATAATCCCAAGTTCCCCAGTGTGCCATGATTTGTTATAAAGAAAAAAAAATAAATGGTTCAGTGAATTCATTAGCCAGTTAAATATTCTTGGATGTAAGCTCTTCTCCTGCACATTACAAAAATTGTTACTTACACAGTTTAGCATCTTCCTTAATTACTGATGGAATAGAAAGTATTTCATTACCACTGTAAAATATGAATATTACACATTGTTGTTTCAAATGCAGAGCAGAAATATTCACTGAATTCTTGGTTTTCGTTATGCAGAATGTGTGTAGCACACAGACACCTGGGGCTGGGGCCCAGCACCTGCAGGTCTCTGCCTTCTCTGCTGCTGGGGCATCCTGCTTCAGGGCTGAGGTGTCAGAAAGCTTGAGAAGTCGGAGAGGTTCAGGGGAACACCGTGGATGGGTGACGGGCTGCAGGGACTCCTGGCAGCAGGAGCTGCAGAGGGATCGGGGTTGGGCACACCGTGGTTGCTCCTTGGAGCCCTGCATGCAAGGGTGGGCCCCTGTTCTCCAGTACCAGCTTCCCAGAGTGGGAGAGGCTCGGATCCCACTCCCATGGAGAACCGAGGGACCCTCCATCACTTCCTGCCACCCACTGCTGGACCCTGCTGTGCCTTGCCAAACCTCCCTGCAGCGTCCATTCAGTGCTGCCAGGCTTTCTGAGTGGCACTCGGAGGTGAAATTAGATCCAGTGGCTGGAAATTGAAGCTGGGCAAACACAGAAATTAGAATTAGAAATGAAACACATTTCTAATAGCAAGTGCAATTAATCTTCTAGTTAATTGCATCTTAAAACAGCTTGTCATGGTGGATGTGGATTTCTCATCTCTAGTTTTTTTTAAATCACTGTATGCTTTGCCCTAGCCCAGACCAGGGTTCATCCTGCACAGTGGTCAGCCCAGCCCCAAAGAGATCAGGCTGATTAATTACAGATCTATGAACCACAGTCTTGTCACTCCTCTGCACTGTGCTGCCACAGGCTGCTGTCACTGCTGGGACTGCTTTTGGCCCCAGAATAATGAGCTCCAGTTTCCCTTCCCAATGCTCCTCATTCCATTGACACCTCATTGATAACTCTGACTTCCCCTTAGCTTCCTTCATTTTGGCCCCCCTGGTTCTGTCAGCTTTGAGCTCTGAATCTGTTGCCTGCCCTGCTTTCCGAGAAAGACATTCTGGAATAAATGGTGATGCTGCGTTTATAATCTTACTTAAATATTTGCTCTTACTCCATTTCTCTCATGAGCTTTAGCTTTGAGATCTCAGCCGTTTGGCAGGGCTGTTGGTGTTTCACCCTGTGGGATGGTTGATGGTTGGGGGTTCCAAAGGACCCCAGGGCTGGATGTGACACTCAAAGGCAAACCCTGTCCTCTCCCCAGCACACAAACACCTCAGGGGCTGCCCCACGACTCTGGCTGGGATCCCTCATGAGGAAGCACCAGGTGCCCTGACTCGGGGCAGTAGGAACCTCGGTGTTCTTTGCAGGCTGTGACCCCCTGACAGCAACACTGCCCTCTGAATCAGCCCTGTGCAGAGCTCTTCTGGGCTCACACTGGGGGTTTGCTTGGCCCCACAGCAGTTCTCCAAGTGCCGAGGGCTTCTGGTCCTTCCCCCCTGGGAGCATGACTCCAAATGCTTCCTCCACTTCTGTTTCCATCCAGAAGTGCTGCAGCAGATGCTGATGCTCCTAAGGTGAGCACAGGGACATGCTCTGCAGGTGAACCCCAGGGGCACAGACCCCTTTTGCACACAGGTGCTCTCTGGGTTGTCCGTCCCTGCCCTCTGCAGCTGCTTGTCATGAGCGAGTGGTTCAGGTCACTTTAGGAATTATCAGCAAAGGTATCGGCAAAAGCAGGCGTGATATAACTTTGTAGTGGGAGCAGAGGACATCAAAAATGCTCAGAAGACAAGGAAATGCCCAACAAAAAGTGCCTCGAGGACCTGGAGCTGGAGAAACTTGAGTGGTGACAAAATAACAATATCTAACCACAGAAAAATTATCTGAGCACCTCTCCTGTGAGGAAAGGCTGAGGGAGCTGGAACTCTTCTGCCTGGAGAAGAGAAAACTCCGGGGGATCTCATCAGTGTGGATAAGTGCCTGAAGGGAAGGTACGAAGACAATAGAGCCAGGTTGTTTCCAGTGGTGCCGGTGACTGGACCATGTTCCCAGCTGAAGACAGCACTATTCATGTGCCAGCCTGTGTTGTGCATGGTGCTGCATAACCCATTTTGCTCCAAGTCCTTCATCCTGCACTCTGAAAATACCAGGTTTACTTAGAGGCTCTTTAGTTCTGTCAGAGCTATGAGACATGTCCGTATAGTGACCTGCAGATGATGGATGTCTTCTGAACAAAAGGATCCAGAGCACTCCACTCACGGAATTGCTGGGGCAGAGCAGTGCACTAGGAGAGAGCTGCTTCCAGGCTAAACGTGCAAGAGGTACTAGCCCTGTGCCTTAGCGGCCCCATAAATTATCTGAAGAGTTTGGCTAACATTGCTTTCCCAGAGCAGGGTCCAAACCCAGGACTGAGGGAGAGCTTGGCTCTCCTAAGCAGAATAATCCTTTAAGAGATGTGTCAAAGGATCCTACCTTGTCCAGGACTATAGAAACAAAAATTTCTTCTCTGAGATCTAGTCAACTGCAAACCCATCCACCTGGGACTGCTCTTGCTACTGCTAATGAAGATGCTGGGTTCTTACTGCTCCAGCTATGGCTCTGCCGGGTCTGCTTCTGAAATACATTCCCCAGGAGAGAGTGTGGATTTTTGTAGCCACTGCAGATGACTGTGACAGGTTTTGCTGTCGGGAGCTGAAGGCAGAAGCACATAGGGCAGCTCTGCACTCAAGGAAAGCCTGTGGGACCATGTTTGCAGAGACCAGCTGGGACCTCCTGGGTGCTCCTTGCACGTGAGCTCTTGCCCACCCCAAGCTGTGTGTGGTTGCAGAGTTTGATGGACCGTGTCATGGGCACATCCAACAGCAGAGTCTGTGCCTGGCAGGAGCCCAGCTTCAGTCAAACAGCATCATGGCCATAGCCAGACTAACCTCTAGATTTCCCATACTTGAGTAAATAATTTTGCAACGTTAGCCTTGCTTTTAATATGTTTAGCAGCTATACTACAGGAATGCCTAGAGGCTGTGACTAGATTTAGTCCTGTTGTGCTAGATTCCGTGCAGAGATTGTAAGTGGAGCAGGTAGAGGCATAAAGTTAAGGCTGCATAGCAGTTTCCATTAGAAAGACCTGCTTTCATTTGCCAGTCAGTCATTACACTTTAACTGTAGCAGTTGCAGTTGCCATGCTCTGTGTCTGTCTCAGAACTTTTCCCATTACAGATACAGCAAAAATTAATTGGCCTCTACCTGGCCAACAGCCGGTGCACCAGGAATACATTCTAAACTCCTCACCTCAGAGGGGAGAGCTGGCCCAGATGGTTCTTTTTCTGCCCAGTAGCCTAGGATCAACTTTTCCCAAATTACCAGCCTCTGAGGATCCCCCTTGTGTGTTCCAAGCAAGGACATTTTTAGAGGCTGATGGCTTTCTCCTAAGAAGCTGCTGCCTTTGCTGAGAAGATTGCAGTTAGGGCAGATCCACTGTGCTGGCCAGACAGGTCATGCATGGTCTTCAGCACAGACACTGTGTCCCAAGGGTCAAGTGTTGAGCAGGACACTTTCCAGTCTTGCCTACTGACTCCAGAAAAACAGGCAAATGGACTCATCCATGATCATGTGTCTGCAGCAAGGAATGGCAAAGAGGAGGAGGAGGAGGAAAAAGCTTCAGCAGTTTTAATGCAGAAACCAGAGAAGAGGAATTGAAAGCAAAGGCAGATTTAGGACAGAGGGGCAACTCAGGCAGTGGCATGATGGAGGATGAGATGGGCCAGGCTGGTCTGTGATTGCCGAAGGTGCTGCTGACAGAGACTGGACTTGAATTTGGGTCCCAGCCTGGTGAGACTCAGAACTAAGCTGAGGCTGAAAAACACAAGCCATGACCCAGCAACTCCAAAACAGGAGAGAGTAGGTGTACCTGTGAGACTCTTTCTTAGCTTAATGTCTGATAATGTACCCACTGAGGTCCTGAGAGGTCTCTGTCAACAGCTGAGAGTGCAATGAGATCAGGGCTTTACAAATTGCCCCCACAATTAATATTTCTGCTGTACCTGGTATGTTGGACGGTGTATATTTAGGCACATTAAGGGAACACACTGGCTCTTTGCAAGGGAGGAATGGAGCCTGATAAACCAGAAGTGGAGGACTTCCTGCAAGGAAGGTATGTGGAGAGGGAGAGATGTTCAGGGAGAAAACTGAGCAGTGGAGGTCTGAGCCTCAAGTGGAAGCCATGGAAACTGCATTTCATAGACAGCAAGAAGCTATGGAAGATTAGACAGAAGTTACAGAAACTGGGAAAGCCTCTGGAGGCCCAAGTAATAAAAACAATGTCATGTGCAACCTGGACCCTCATTCTGTGTTGGCTCACCCTGCGAGGGCAGTGGGTGTGAGAGCCCTGTCGTGTTCCATGTATGCACTGGGATACAGCAGCAAACCTTGCCTTTATTTTGCAACTTTTTAATTTTTTTTCTGCAGTCCTTCAAATTTTCCTTATCTGAATCTTGGCTTCATGATTTGGCATGAGTTTCTACCCTTCTTTACTACGAAGTCTGATGAGACAAAGTAAACCAGAGTGGAGTAAGTTGTCGGACCCTGAGTACATTCAGCCCTCACAGGGGTTCAGCCCTCTGGGATCAGGGCTTACTGAAATGATGCATCTGTCTGTCATCAGAGTTGCTCTGGTCACCTTCCTCGAGTCCTGTGGACTTCAAGCCCTTGTGGCCTGACTTCCCACCCCTCTGGAAGGAGTCTTTCCTTGCTGCTCCCAGCATGGAACAGAGATTCAATGTTTGAAGGGAGACAGGGGCTGCAGGTAATGCAAGTGTATGATGAGGTAAGCACAAGCTCAGTCTTGGAGACATAAGTAGGGACTTACTGGGTGCCAGCTATTGATGTGTAGAGGTCAGTAAAGAGCTTGTGCTCTGGGCTTCAGACAGGACCTACTGCCGTGGGCACAGACCACCATACTCCATCGTGGGGGATGCATGTCATCCCACCTCATTCAGTTTCCCAGCAAGGTCACAGAGTAGAGCAGTTTCCTGTTCCTCTCAAATATCTTGCTAACCTATGTGAGGGTGTGAGGTGTGGGTTGAAGGTTACGTAGGAAAGATTCATTGAACAAGTGATCAAATTTCCATTGCTCGGGAGTCAGGAAGCTGCTTGCACAGCCTGGATTTGGGCCTCTTTAGGTGCAGTCATGAGATCCAGTAACACATGGCTATTCTTTCCCTTTCTCCATGGTGTAGTGATAGCAGGGAATGGACCAAAACTGTGTGCATGAAGATGACTCCAACACAAAGGTCCCTTTCCCACAGACATGCCAGGAGAGCTGGGCCAAGGACAGACAGAATATGGATGCTGACCTGCAGACCTGAACCGTGTCCCTTGTGTCACAACTGATCCCTGTGGTGGGATCCATCCAAATGCTTGTCTCTGCCAGCCTCCTTCCCAGTCTGGAATCTGGGCCCTCATCCTGGACTAGGGACTGACTGGTTAATGACCTGCAAACATAGGCATCTCTATCTCTCTCAGTGATCCAAGCGTGGGAGGTGTCTGCATCAGTGGTGCCAGGGATTCAGTGGGCCTCAGTTTTAGGATTTGGTATTGGAGTTTGGATGATTATTTTACCATTGACTTTTCCACATCTGTTTCCCTGGCTGGAGGCAGGGCAGTTCTCACGGCAGAGGGATATTTCCTTGGAACTGCAAGGATATGCCACAGAGAAAGGCACAAAAGACATGAAAGAAAAAGGAGGCTTTGTGATGTCATAGCTGGGCCCTGGGGAGTCAGATTGTGCCCGTTCAGTGGAGGAAGGCTGAGTACCTGGTGGACCCACTTTGCCTAACTTACATGCTCCACAAAGGATCCAAGTGTCCAGCTCAGTGGCTGGGTTGTCATGTCCCACACAAAACACACGCTTCAAGGCTGCAGCAAAGTGGTGTTCCAGACCTCTTCAGGGACAGAGCAGAAGGTGGTGGTTTAGAAATCCATGTGTTCACACAGATATCAATGCACCAGGGAGCCTGGGTAGCTAAGCAGCCAGAGGTACTGCATCCCCAGTCAAAGGGGGAGCGCAGGCAGGAAAACACAGGGGGCCTGAAAAGAGGAATACCCCTAGGTGAGAGATGGAGGTCTGGCGTGTCACTGTGCCACTGAAAATACAGTCTGAGCGAGCACAGACATGACTTCAGCTGTGGCATTTCTCAGCTTCCAAGTGCTTTATGTGGCAATCCCGACGCTCTTTTAAAGTAGGGCTTTAGTTTGCCTGATGCTCAGCATATTGCAGGCCCGGTGAGCAGCTCCCTGTGGACAGGAGCACAACCCAAATTTTGAGCTGAGGGGAGAAGTCCTCTGTTTTAGTGTGGAGACTCCCCACAAGGGGCAGGCGATGTTCCCCGAACGCAGAGAGAGCAGCGGAGCCGCGGAGCTCTCGCCGCAGCTCGGGAGCTTTCGGCTCACGCGGGTCTCGTTTGCTCTGCAGACGGAGCGATGCGCACCAGGGCCACCGGCCGCAACCCGGGGGAAGCGTGTGGCACTCGGAGTGCGGTGGTACGAGCCCCGGGCTCTGTGCTGCTCAGCGGGTGCCGGGGGAGAGCCGGGACATCCGCCCCCGGCCCCGCTCCGCCGGGGCTCCGCGCCGCATGCCCGCTCCTGCCCGCCGTGCCGAGCACCGGGACCACCCCGCGGTGCGCGGCGCCGGGGCCTCGGGAGAGCAGCAAGGGGGGACGGGAGAACCTCTCTCGGATTTCAACCCCCTCCGTTCCCACCGTGACCCGAGTGCGTCTGCGGGCGGTCCTGCGGTACCGCCGGCCCCGCGGCGCCCGAGCCCGCCGGTCTCACGGAGACCCCGCTCCGAGCCCACGGAGGCTCCTGGGCAGGGAAAGGGGCAGTCCCGGCTCTGCTCGGGGCGGCCCCCGCCGCATCCTGTTCAGCGGCGGGCGGTCTGCGGGCACGGCACGGCACGGCACTGCCCCAGCGCGACGGGGCCGGTGCCCGGCCAGGACCGGTCGGTCGGGGCACTGGAACCCGCCTGTCGCCGCCGCCGCCGCCGCCCCCGGACCGCTGCCCTCGGGCTGATGCCACCGGGAGCGCCGACCCGGGCCGAGCCGAGCCGATTGCGGGGCCGGCTCGCCCCGTCCGTGGTTCCGGGGAGGGCCGTGCCGCTCGGCACGGCCCCGTCCCGTCCCCACAAAAGCACCCTTGTACTGGCCCCGTAATTGCTAATCATCAATCACCATTAATAACAGCTGATGAGGCGGGAGGGGGAGGCGCCTTCCCAGGGGCCGGCCGCGCCGGGGGAGCGGGGCGCTTTGCCCCGGCGGAGCGGGCGCTGAAAGAGGAACTCGACCGTGATGTGCGGAAGATGGATGAGAGCAGAGGGCGACACCCCCGCCCGCCTCCCCTCCCTCCTCCCCCCTCCCCTCGCCGGCCCGGCCCGGCCCCCCCGCGGCGGGGCGGGCGGGCGGCTCCGAGCGCGCCTCACTCCGCCGCGCCGAGACAGCGAGCGGGCGGGCGGGCGGCAGCTCTCGCCGGGCGCCGGAGCCCACGGGAGGCGGCGGGCGCGGGCCGGGGCCGCGGCGGCGGCGGCGGGGCCCGGGGGCGGCGGCGGGATCGCGGCGAGTTGGCGGCGGCCCGAGCTCGCCAGAAAGTTAGTGCCGGCTGAGCCGGCGGGGCCCGCTCGCCATGCAGAGACCCGGCGGCCAGGGGACCGCCTTCTCCATCGATTCGCTCATCGGGACGCCGCCGCCGCGCTCCGGGCACCTGCTCTACACCGGGTACCCCATGTTCATGCCGTACCGGCCGCTGGTGCTGCCGCAGGCGCTGTCCCACGCCCCGCTGCAGTCGGGGCTGCCGCCGCTGGCCCCGCTCGCCTCCTTCGCCGGCCGCCTCACCAACACCTTCTGCGCCAGCCTGGGCCAGGCCGTGCCCTCCATGGTGGCGCTCACCACCGCCCTGCCCAGCTTCTCCGAGCCCCCCGACGGCTTTTACCCGCCCCAGGAGCTGCCCCCGCCGCGCGCCACCCCCGACGCCGGCTGCCGGCGGGGCGCCGAGGGCCTGGAGGCGGAGGAGCTGCCCCCGGGCCGCGACAAGGGGCCACCCGAGCAGCCGCTGCACTTCCCGGACCCCTTCCCCGGCCTGGCAGGTAAGAGTGGCGCGGGCCCGCCTCGCCTGGCGGAGAGCAGCCAGCCCGCCTCGCCCAGACCCTCGCAGCCTCGAGGGGACCCTGACCGGGCTCTCCCCGCAGCGCCGGCGGCTCCTGGGGATGGGCGGCCCGGCGGGCCCCGAGCTCGCCAGGACGGGAGCCGCGGAGCAGCGGGCGCTGGGGGCCGGGGAGCACCGGGCAGGACGGCGGGGTCGCCACGGCCGCGGCTGCTGGACCTGCCCGCGACCTCGCTCCCTGTCCGTCCCGTCGGGCCCAGAGGACCGGGACTGTTCCCTGCCGTCCCGGGCCGGCTACGCAGCGCCCGCAGCTTTTGCGGACTCCGCTCGCCTCGGCCGGGCGATGAGGCAGGTGCGGAGGGAGCGCGGCCGGTCGGGGGACCGCCACGGCGGGCCGCCTGGCAGGATCAGCGTGGCGCGGCCCGGAGCCGGACGGCGGCGCGGAGCTCTCCGAGGTCCTGGCACCCGGCCCGGGGCGAGCGAGGCGGAAGGCGACGGGGCGCCGCAGGGCCCGGCCCGCAGGGCGGCCCGCAGCCCTCCCCGCCCGTCCCGATCCTGGTCCCGATCCCCGTTCGGGACTCGGTCCCGCTCGGCCTGGCGCGGGGCTGCCCCTTGCCCCCAGCACGATGCCGCGTTCGGGGCCGGTGCCTCCCGGCGTCGCCGTGCTGCGGCCACTGGCGCTCCGAGTCCCCCCGAGCCCGCCCCACGGGGGCGGTGGCGGGGCAGGTCCCCTCCGTTCCGGCCGCCGTGCCCGCTGCTGTGCCCGCCGCGTTGGCACAGGCTCAGCCCGACGTCGCGGGCAGGCTGCAGCGCTGCTCCCGGGACCCCCCGCTGCAGCCGAGGGCAGCTCCCATCGAGGTCCTCGCCTTTGTGCGCTGCGGCCGCTCCCCGAGTGCGCCTCCACCGGCCTCGGGGACTTGTTGCTCCGTATTTCTCAGACGGGTCCAGCGCTCGGCTCTTCCCCCTCAACTCCTCCAGCGTGGGGCGTGAGGGGTCCCTGCGGCGAGACCCTGCTTCTCCGGCGTGGCTTGTCCTGAGCTGTCTCCCCTGACCACTCCTGAGATCACCTTTGTCTCACAGGTTTCTTGGTATGGTTGCATGCTGCAAAGTCTCTGCTGCTTCTCGCACTGCTTGGCTGTTTGTTCTCCATCCTCCTTTTAGCTTCTCCTGGATAAGCCCAGGTATCTCCCTTGCCCTGCCTGGTTCCTCCCTCAGAAGAGCATTTTCCTCGCGCAGGTACTCCTTGAACCTCACCCCTCACATAGGACAATGGGGGCATTCTGCCTCCCCATTACCTTTGTGGGTTATTAGGGCATTGGTGCACATCTGGTGCTCCCCAGCCTCTGTGCTGCGTCAAAAACCCAATGCGATCTCATTTTTATTGTGAAAGTTTCCTCGAGGGCAGCGCTGCCCTGGCCAAAACCACCTGTCCATGCGACCTCATCTTCCCAGTCTGTGGGCAGATGAACTGCATTGTGCTTGAGCTCCCTCCGTGGCTCCTCTGTACCCGAGCCCAAGATGTTCCCTCCTCCCAAGAGACTCAGACAAACTGTCCCAGAGAGTGGCCACTTCTGAATCCGAGAAATCCTACCTCTAAGACTTCTTTGGTTGCAACTGGCTCACATGGAAAGGAAGATGTCTTGTTACCACTGTTCATTCCCTGCTGCCTCTGAGCACTGTGCTTGCTCCGGAGCCATGAAGGATGCTTGTCTTTCTGCATAGGCGTGTGCCCACTGTAGACCCAACTCTGAGGGCTGCTCTGCTCAGATCTGAGAGGATTTGTCTGGCCAAATGTGACTGCCTTCTCCTATACCTAATATTTCTCCTGACTGTACCAGAGGCGGACAGTGGAGTTTGTTTTACTAACCATCTCAGATGAAACCCAGGAGGATTGCTGTATTTTTCCAGTATTAGGGAAGCAAAAGATGATTTGTGTCAAAAGGAGTCATCAAAAACCATCTATAATGCAGTTTTTGCTCACATCCTGTCTGTGGCCCTGGCCAAAAGCAATTGTCCAGGGAAGAGCAAGAGAGCACAATTTGTGCAATGCTCAATTCTAAAATGATGCTTCCCTCATATCCAACCATCTGCACATCAGGGGCTTCTTGAGACAGGTGTTGTTTCTGTATATTTAGTAAACTTTGACCAGTTTGTCTTCTGTGACTTTATTTAATCTTCCCTGGAATCCACCAGAAAGGCAGGATAACCCTGGCATTAACCACATCCCAGGGCAAGGTGTTCCACAGATCTCTTATCTGTAGAAGAACCATGTGAAGAATAAATGCCTCCTTTGGTCTGTTTCACTGTCATCAACTGACTTCTACCCTGAAGTGACTGTTTCTGTCCCTGGGCTGCTAACGTATCTCCATCCTGCAGGTGTCTATGAACACAAGATTAGTTGCTTGCCAGATCAGCCAAAGGGGTCAATGCCCTATTTTAGGGCCTCTCTCTGCATCCCCTAGGTTTCAAACTTGCTTCCAGTTGTTACCACCCTTCTTGAGTGGGCAGAGATATGTAGGGAAACTGGTGATGAGAAGCAGCAAAGCTTGGAGTCTGGTTTGTTACTACAGCTGCAACAAAGAGCATTATCCCTGGGATAAGGGTATTTAACACCCAGCTCTCCACAGCTCTCCTGAGAGCAGGTTTGTTCCTGAGCTGTGCAGGTCT